CTGTTTCTGAGAGTTTTTTACTGTAACAAAACTCAAATTCTAAACTCGAATCAACGAAATGAACGTGACCTAAAAAATATAAATGAACATAAAGTGCAATCTCCTTTATTCGATAAAAAAAAAAAACACTAATAACTACATTTCACATTTTATCATTACAATTGTTAGTTGTTAAAGCATTGATATATATAAATATATATATATATATATAAAAGATAAGATTTGTTAGACTAGTTATATTTTATGTCATGCGCTACGATTTGACAAATTTACAGCGGTGACCGCTGACCATTGTTCACATATAATTTGTCAAAAATTTGACATGAAACTTGTTTGATGAGGGCCTTTTGGTTGTTGACCAGCCTGTATTTACGTAAATCGAGGCATGGCAGGGCCTCACATGGTAAGCTCTGCCGTATGCTTTGCAGGCTGCACGTGCATGCATACAAGCTGACGTGCCTCTGCATGTGCCTTGTGATGAGGAGTCAAAAGTAAGAAAAATCCCTGCCTGACGACCACTTTCCATACTTGACTTCGAGCCTTTGAATTTTGATTAGGTTTTAACGTCTAATCCAATATTACGACTTATACAATACTCATATACGTTCCCATCAGAGCAAAATAAATTTGGAATGGAAAACATTGCCCGTCTTTTGAGTTGCATGATCATACAGCTAGGTCTTCAATTTTATTATTATTATTTTTTAGAAAAAAAACAGATTACTCTTTTATTATTATTTTTTAGAAAAAAAAAAAAACAGATTACTCTTTTATTATTATTTTTTAGAAAAAAACAGATTACTCTTTTATTATTATTTTTTTAACATTTTTTTGTTTCCGACATTAAAATTGTCGGATTTCTATAATTTAACAGCGATGTTCTAGCTTGTTTAAAGATTTTTAAAATAACAAAAAGAATATATATTTTGTATTTAATGTAACTATTTTTGTAAATCTTTCAATCTATGTAATAATTAGAAAGTAATTATTTTTGTTAAATTTCAGAAATTTTTTATTAATTTTAGTGTTAATGACTAAAAATATCAAAAAATCAAAATTCAAGGAGTAATTTGTGAAGAAAGAAAAGTTTGAGAGTTTAATTGATACATTAATACTCATAATTCAGGACCTAATAATACAATAAGAGCATCTCTAATACAATGCTATAATTGATGAGTCAATTGTAAATTTAGTATTTTAGTATAAAAAATACTCTCCAGTGTAATATTATTTATTGTGCTAAATTTTCTATATGCTGTACTTTATAGTAAATTTTCTACCAAGTATAGCATATGAAAAAATTTGACATTTAATTACTAGTAGTTAAAATGTTTACTTTTTCATGTAATCGTTATAACTGTTCTATTTTCTAATTATTTAAAAAATAAAAGTACACTCTTACAACTTTCAAAACTTTAATAGTCATAGGAAAAAAGTAGATTTAATATTGGGTGGGTCTATTGACACCCCCTTTTCTACTCTTCACCCACTCTTTTTTAATATTTTTAAATTATCCATTAGTAAAATTACTGTTAAGAACAAAGATATTTTAAAAAATACTCATTACACACTCACCATTAGAAAAATATAAGTGACACTCCCTATTCTATTTTTTACACACATTTTTTAATAAATTCTTTTTATTACAACATTACCCATCAATAAAAATAATTTTTTTAATGAAATAAAATCACTTTTAACGACAACATTATTTAAAAAAAAAAAAATACTCATCCACACCCTATCTTAAAAAATTAGGGTGGGTCTATTATCACTCTTTAATTTATTATTTACATAGCGTTTTTTAATAAATTATTTTATTACTGAACTACTCATTAGCAAAATTAGTTCTAAGAACAAAATTGTTTAAAAAAGAATACTTATCACACAATATATAAATCTCGGCAATCATTTATATACCGATCAATTTATATACTAACTGTTATTACAATTTCACAATTTCCTTTTTGTTTCTGGTAATGAAGCATTGTTATATACCGGAGGACAGACTTTTAGTTTCTTTTTTGTTGCAGTAAGAATGAGTTCCATGGTCGTATTGATTTTCGTTCAATTTCTTAGCATCCATCGTAAGGTATACTGAAGACCATGTCAAGAAATTGATAGCAATGCTTTGTGTTTTAGATTTAGTCTATAATTTAATTTAATGAGAAAAAATATTTTCACTGCAAGAAAAAAAAAACTATACAAAAATTTTAAGAGGGGTGTATCAAGTAGAATAGGGAGTGGTTTGAGAATGTGTGTATAAAATGTAGAATGAGGGTGATTTGATTGTAGGGTTTTTTTGTAATTTTAGAAGAGGTGTGTTGACGGTGAAATTTCGTCAACAGGATCACGCCGGGTCACCCCTTGGTATCCCATAGGGTTACCGGCCTAATACTGGTTATATACTGAAAATAATGCTTGTGAAGTATTTGAATAAACTTTGTGATGAAAGTAATATGAGTGTAATGCTTGAATGAAAGGGCACACATGAAATTTATAGTGGTTCACTATGTTAATGAAGAGTTACATCCACTGTATTTTTACATATATCTTTCCTATTCTCTAATTACATGTAGAGTGAGGAAGAGAGATGGAGAATCCGAGAGAGAGAGAACCCTTCTTTTTGTTCGGGGCTTTGGCCCTCTTTTATAGCCCAAGTTTACTTCAAGAATG